CAGGAATGAACAACTATATAAGTTCAACTTCTAATCAACCACCCATGAGCAGCCATGCTAGTTTGACTCCTACCCAACCAGAAATGATGAGCTTTGGAAGTTTAACGCCTAATCAACCAGGAGTGAACATCTATGGAATTTCAACTTCTAATCAACCAGGAATGAAAATCCATAGAAGTTTGACTCCTGGCCAACAAGGAATCATCAGCTACGAAAGTTTAACTTCTAATCAACCTGGAATAAGTAGCCATAGAAGCTTCTCTCCAAATCAACCAGGATTGAATAGTTATGGAAGTTTAACTCCTAATAATTCAAGAATGAGCAGCTATGGAGTTCCAACTTCTAATCAACCAGGTCTGAACAGTTATGGAAGTGTAACTCATAATACAAGAGTAAACAGCTATACAAGTTTAACTCCTAATCCACCAGGACTTAGCAACTTATTGTATGGAATGCAATTGTTCTTAAACAACGAGAACATTGCGCATAAGCAGCCTCAGCCACATGCTAATGAACCTACACATGCAAATCTTGAAACTCTTCAACTTGAGAATCCCGACTTGTATGCACTCCTCGGTAATATTGATGAGCTTCCTTGTGATATAAGTAACTTCCAACTCGATTATAACAAGGTATATATTATCACTACCCTAGTATTTGAATAATGTAGATGTACATGCATTATATGTTGTTTAATTTTTGAAAAATATTTACATGCATTATATGTTGTGACACCTTTTCATTAATATGGCACGAGCAGCAACAAGAAGAAGCGGTGTTTACCACCCAGTTTGAGCTCCCTGCAAATTTAGAGACTGAGTTGAATCAGATTTTGTCTCTTGAAGAAAATGGTGACCGGAACATTAATCAGGTATATACATATTATTAGGAGATTTTTGCAGTCACAAGATTGAATATGAGTCAACGTCTTATCAAAGGTTATATATTGTCATATTTTAAGAAGCTTTGTTGGAAAATTTCTAACTAGATTTGTTAGTGTTAGAAATTTTGTAAACTTTTGCTACTCTTATAAACAGATAGACATTGTTTATACCTTTATCTAATGTCTTACTGGTTTATACATTTTGTTTTGCTGTGAAGGGATATTCTGTTGGAGAAACATCAAACATTTTAGCTGCTCCGGAGACGGATTCTCCATGTTTCAACATGAACCCTAATCATGATCAGGTATTCTTTCATTCCAAATATATTTCCATAAAAGTATGATTCATTTTTTTTTTTTAAATACTCTGAAACTTGGAATCTATTTGGTAGGAACAAGATGTTCCAGATTTTGTCTATTGTTCGTCACTGGATCCGGAGGTAAAGTTAATTATTTGTCTATACTAATTTTGAAGTTTGTAAGTCATGAAATGTTTGTTGATTTGAACTTCTTACATATATAGGACTTGGCTAATGAGTACGATCTCATGAACTCTCTGTTAAATGACGACATGAATTAGAAAGGGCTCGATCCAAGATGTTCTCGAAGCTGAGGTGGAGAAATAAAACCAGGAATTCATAGTAGTTTCTAAGCAAATATATATATATATATGTAAAAAAAAATGAGAATATTGTAGAACTATGGCTTTAGTTATCAAATATATTTCTAAGTGTAGGTATTTAGTTATGTCTGAGAACTTTCAATCTTTTATATGGTTAGAAATCTCATGTGTTTGTGTTATAGAATAATATATATATATATATAACATTTAATTTAAAATATGATAATTACATTTCTTGAAGTTTGTAAAATATTTGAGTATAAGATTTCTTGCATTTCTTTAGTACAAGATCTTGTAAAAAAAAATTAAAGTATATTGGGCATAATATATATTGCATTTTATAAGATATTTTATACCAAAGAAACACATTTAAATTTAAAATTCTTAAGAAATGTTAAAGTTTTAAAATATATTGGGCATAAGATATAAATTGCATTTTATAAGATCTTATACTAGAGAAATACATTAACATTTAATCAATATTTAAATATTTTATAAGATTTTTCCTTTACTAAAGAAACCCATTTAACTTTGGTTTCAGAAGTTGTATTAATTATTTTTAAAAATGGTGACGTAGCCCTAGGAGACTTTAAATAATTTTTAGGCATCTCGCTGTCTAGATGCGTATTGATGTTCAAAAGAAAAGAAAGATGAAGACGACTATTGTTATGCAGATAGCTTAGAATTATTTTTCTAAGTATTCATAGCTTGTTTTTGGACCAGCGAATTGCAAAATTTCTAGAGGTCTTTATCATTTTCTTAAAATCAGTCATAACTATCATTGAAATATGATATATTAAGATGTATTCATATTGCAAGTGCTGCAATTTGATGGTTTGTAATTTATAAAAAAAATTGATAGTTTAAGAAGGAATCATCAAAATCAAAGTCCATAAACTAAAAGATCCCAAACGTTGTAGTATAGTGTACGTATACATATGGACGAAAGATCAAATCGTTAGTATGAGGATTTAACTCCATAGATCGTTTTATATGCTAACTATACATAGACAAACTAAAGATTTTAAATCAATATCTGGAGAAATAGTCTTCACTTTGTGTTGAAAACAAAGTCAACAAAGCGTTTCTTAAAATATGCTTATATGACACAGATACTATCAACTATTATTTAATCCCCTATACATTCAAAACAAGTCCATCAATCTAATTCCTTTCATATTATTCTATAAATTTTAAAATTAAAAATTACCTTAAGCAGTGAATTGCACAATTTTATTGAAAAAATATATAATCCATGTTTTTCTCCAATTCTTTTTGTGTTTAGAGCAAAATCTAAATTAAATAGGACACTTAGAGCAATACCAAAGATATTGTAACTGAATAAATACTGATTTTTGTAAGCAAGTTATGCTCAAAAACCATAATCGTCTAGTAATGTTACTTGTGCTATCGCTTTTTGTGTGAAAAGAAATTAAATATTGCAGCCACCACAAGTGGTAACAAAGCACTGGAACAAGAGTCACTTTCTACTTTCTGATGACCACATGAGTTTCATGGTCAAACTAAAAACAACAGCTTATGGACAAAGGACAAAGACACCGACCCAGCAAGGCTAGGCCCAATAAAATTTCTTTTTTTCATTGGATATTATTAGGCCTCTTCAGTACTAAAATGTATACTACTTTTCGGTATACATCAATCAAATATTTTACTTTAGTTATCATGCAAATCTTAGAAAGCAACTAAACACATCTGTTACTATCATTTCCCATAACTGGCATCATTATAGATTGCTTTTATAACAGGCGTGGCATTGTCACATATGCAACTTCAGGAAACACTCGGTCCAACTTGTAGTTTCAAATTTCTAAAATAAAGAAAAACTATCCATAAAGGCATAAATAGACAAAATTAAATTAAAAAAAATGGAATAATAAATCGTGTTGGTTACCATAATTTTGAAAGTTAGAGAGAGAAAGTAGATCTAGAGGACTTCCGGCGGTCGACCGGCGCGTGAGCGTCCGTGCCGTCGCCGGAACCCTCTCCTTTTCTTCGGTTGTGTTCCTCCGTCTTCCCTCTCTACTGCCCTGTCAACGATCGCTTTGTTCAAGCTCTGATTCCGCAACCATTCTCAATGGAAGCACGGTTCTTTGGAGTACGGACGCGATTGTCGGAAGGTCTTTGTTGGAGAGGGAGCGCTTAGTGTCTGTAGTGGTGAAGTGTTGCTGAGAGGCGGAGGCTAAGAAAGATCCGTCGTCGTCGGCTTCTCTGTGGGAGGTGGAGGCTTGCTCAGATCCNCGCTTTGTTCAAGCTCTGATTCCGCAACCATTCTCAATGGAAGCACGGTTCTTTGGAGTACGGACGCGATTGTCGGAAGGTCTTTGTTGGAGAGGGAGCGCTTAGTGTCTGTAGTGGTGAAGTGTTGCTGAGAGGCGGAGGCTAAGAAAGATCCGTCGTCGTCGGCTTCTCTGTGGGAGGTGGAGGCTTGCTCAGATCCACCGTCGTCGTTTCAGTTTCCGGGAAGGGGAGCTTCCATCAGCTTCGCCGTCGCCGGCTTTTGGTCGCGGAGAGGGGAGGCTTTCAAAGCTGCTCGCTGCCGTCTAGAAACCCCTGTCCTTTTGGGTTAAGTATTAACTATTTCGATTTAGGTTTGTTTGTTTGGTCTAGTTGTCGGGTTGAAGGTGTTGGTGTTTATCGTTTGAGATCTTGTAAGAAGATGAAGTTTTCCGGTGAGGGTGGCGACTGTTTTAAAAAAGAAAACAGTGGTTCTTGGGTGCGCTAGTCTAGGGTTTGAAGTTTTGCAGAGTCGGAGGAGATCTCGGTATGTCACCGATGGAACTCGCCGGCGGGAAGACAAGGCGTTGGAAGAATGGTTTAAGGTTTCGGTTGGAGGCTTGTCGGTTTCCAAGCTCCGACGAAAGTTGCTCCTACGGCGGCGAGGCGGATGCGAGAAAGTTGAGGCAGTTGAGACGCGTGCTGTGTGAACGATCAAGATTTCTCCACGTGTCGGCTTCCTTGTCTTGATCCGTTTAGGTCGTGTAGGTTTGATGGTTTGGGCCGATGACCCGTGTATCTGTCTTTTGTTTGGTTTTCTTGCCCGCTGGGCTTTGTGATTTGTTGCTGTATGGGATATTTGTCTGTTCAGGGCCCGGCCCTTTTTTAATATCAAAACTTTGACGGAAAAAAAAAAAAANTTTCTCCACGTGTCGGCTTCCTTGTCTTGATCCGTTTAGGTCGTGTAGGTTTGATGGTTTGGGCCGATGACCCGTGTATCTGTCTTTTGTTTGGTTTTCTTGCCCGCTGGGCTTTGTGATTTGTTGCTGTATGGGATATTTGTCTGTTCAGGGCCCGGCCCTTTTTTAATATCAAAACTTTGACGGAAAAAAAAAAAAAATAAATCGTGTTGGTTCGAACCAAACCATTTGGTCTGGAGTGAACCGGAGTCAGTCCAATTGACGCTTACTCTCGGCGCGTGGAAGCTTAACTCTATTTATATCATCTACTTCACTCGCTGACTCCATTTCCCACTTGTCTCTTGCTTCTTTTTATACTTTGTCCGAAAGGAAAAAAAAAAAGAAAAATCCTCAAACCGGAGAAAATTCCGACAAAAACTTCAGCAAAAGCAAAACGGTGATTGTTTCTACAGCGATGAAGTAACTATGGGTTTCTTCGGACGTCTTTTTGGTAGTAAGAAGCAGGAGAAAACAACACATACGAAGACCAAGAGTAAAAAATGGAGCTTCACCACCAGATCCTCAAATCCGGCGTCGTCTTCTCATCCAAGCAAGAGACGCACAGATGAAGAAATCTTGGACCCTAACAAGCATGCAATTGCCGTCGCTGCTGCCACCGCCGCGGTGGCTGAGGCGGCACTAGCGGCTGCTCATGCGGCGGCGGAGGTCGTGAGACTCACCGGAAGAGGTGGCGGTAGAACCTCGTCGGTTGCTCAAAATAATCGGGATAATCGCCGGTTGGTGAAAGAGTATGTTGCGGCGGTGAAGATTCAATCAGCTTTCCGTGGCTACTTGGTTAGTGACTTCCCTAAATTATTCTTAGAATTAATTTATTTTCGAAATTTGAATCTTTAGTTTTATTATAACCCACAAAATAAATTTAACTAAAGTGTGGAATAGCTGTCTGATGTTGACTTTTCTACTTAACCCCAAATTAAAATAATTAATGAAAAATGATAAGCTCAATTTTGTATTTTTGTTATTGGTCCCGGAAAATACTATGAAGAGACAAATGAATATGAAACTTGTAACAATCCGATTCGATTCTCTACCGACACTATTTAATGGTCTCGCAACAAATATTTTATTAATTAGTTTGTTTTCTTTTAAACGATATTAATTTTAATTAGGTGGGTTAAATATAATGCTTAGAAAATGAATTAGGTGTAAGTTTGTAACCATTTAGAAGATAATTGATTGGGAAACTATAAGTAGATGTATATTATTTGTAGTTTCTTGTATAATACAAAGTTTTTTTTCAATCTAGGCGAGGAGGGCGTTGAGAGCATTGAAGGCGTTAGTGAAGCTCCAAGCATTAGTGAAAGGACACATAGTGAGGAAACAAACAGCTGATATGCTGCGTCGGATGCAAACACTGGTTAGGCTCCAAGCTCGAGCAAGAGCATCACGTTCTTCACATGTTCCTCCCTCTCCACATTCTCTCCACGCACGATGTGTTTCAGAGGCTGAATACAGCAAAGTCATTGCCATGGACCACCACCGTTCCCAGCTAAGTTCAAGCCGGTTATTAGATCAATGGAGGACAGATGAATCTCTAAGGAACGCATCACAGTACAGTGAAGACAATGACAAGATCCTAGAAGTCGACACTTGGAAGCCTCACTTCACTTCCTACCACAAGGAGTCACCAAGTAAAAGAGGATCTCTTACTACAAGTCCACAAGTAAGGTCAAGACCAGGAAGCAGTGGCAGTTCAAGGAGAAGAACACCGTTCACGCCTACAAGAAGCGAGTATGAGTACTACTCTGGGTATTACCCTAACTACATGGCTAACACTGAGTCTTACAGAGCGAAAGTCCGGTCACAAAGTGCACCAAGACAGAGGCTTCACGAGTTGTCTTCAGAGAGTGGATACAAGAGGTCGGTTCAGGGACAGTATTACTACTACACAGCTGCTGCAGAGCGATCGTTTGATCAACGTTCAGATAAGACGACGTATTCTTCTTCATATCTCAGTTCAGATCCTAATTTGTTTTAATGGTTTGAAGGAATGTGTAAATCAGATACCGACATACAAGTACAGACAGAGATCAATCTCTGTGTCTGTGATTTTCTTTTGACTAGATCCTACGGTACAGATCTCGTACCAACAGGCTACTGTCTTTGGATAGGGGTCCACGTTTGTCTGGTTAAAGAAAACTTCAATAATTTGTTGTGATGTCAAGTCACAAGTTTGATCAAATGAAGGATAGCCACACACACATACAATCAATCATACAATCTCCTGAAACACTATACATTCATTTACAAAGCAAAAAAGAGGGCTGCTTACTTATCAGACGTCTTCACAACTCCATCTTGAGGTGGGGATACATCGTAGGTAGCGACACCAGTGGCAGTGATCATTCCCGTCTTCTCCTCGGAATAGCATCACCAGCGCCATCACAAACCTGCAAAAGAAAAAACGCAAACATTTGGGAGTTAACAGTGAAATGATAAGAGAGAATGATTCTTGGACAATGCAAAACTCTACCCTGTGATCAATAGAGCCAGAGATAGGAGCCATAATATGTATTGGTAAGGCTTGTACTTGGATGTTAAACGTCTGCCTTGTGGCTGCATATGCTCTCTTGCTAACCACTTGAACTGAGGACGAGCCAGCAGAACAAAACCAAGGAGAAAACCAACTAAAAATCCACCCAGATGAGCCATATTATCAACGTGAGGTAGAATCCCAAAGACCAGGTTTATCACAATGACAAACAAAAGCGTCAAGAGAGCTGCAATCTGTAACAAAAAACATGGTTAACCTTCCATATCTAGACCACATACTGTACCGAGAGAGATTAACCTTGTTAGAGTAGATAGTCCAGTTTGTAAGAATCTCAGAAACCATAGAGCCAAGAAGGCCAAATAAGCAACCAGAAGCTCCAACAGAGACACCATTTCTGATAAAGAGAGAAGACACTACGCTTCCACCTACTCCTGAAACTAAGTATATAACTCCAATCCTAACTGCAAAACTCAGAAACCAAAGTTTCTATCTATGTTACTTACTAGCATTGGGAGAATTACATTACTTGAAGATGAGTATAATGACATACCGAAACCAAATTGCTGCTCAAGGCGAATACCGATGAATACAAGACTGATCATATTAGTCACAAGATGAATAACACCTGCGTGTAACCACATAGAAGTCAAGAGACGCCAAGCTTCACGCTTCTCCACAACTCTGCACCACTCAAGTGATCCTAACTTCTCCAATCTGCAAGATAAAAATCTCAATAAAATTACATCTCAAAACCCTAATGGAACTACTTCGAATCTGAACTATAGTAAACGTAACGTACGTGTTAGAAGAGGGGCCAAAGAGAGGATTGTTCCGGAGAGGCTCAAAGGAGAGTCTCCCGAGGAAGTTAGCGACGCAGTGGTGATTGGGAGCGTGAGACTCTGAATGTTTAGGGCAGTTGTTGATGAACATAGCGATGGAGAAGAGTATCACGTTGGTTACAACGATTAATGGAACTAGCCACGACGTCCTCTGCGACGATAACGGTGACGGACTAGGCGGCGGTACGAGTCGAATCAGGTCATCGTCTTCGCTTCCGATCTCTCGATCGTCTCCTACGGCCATGAGTGAAGTGATCTCTCTCGCTCGCTTGGAGGGCGGCAAAAACGGTTAAACGAGTCGGGGAGAAAATGGGTTTATAGTAAACCAATGGGAAAATTACACGTGTAATACGTTTTACGGGCGCGCGTTTTTTTTTTCATTTGGTAGCTTTATAAACGGGACTAAGCATATCCGGCCCATTTAAGGCCCATTAAAGCCATTTACTCTTTTGAACTTAAGAGCACCCTATTGAGAGTTCAAATGGGGGGTTCACACAGAAACCAAAAAAATAAAATAATAAAATAACAAAAATCTATGAACCTCTCTCTCTTAAAATTCACCCGGGTGAACCCCTCTCTCTTAAGGTTCACCACGTGTCAGTCCGGGATTGGTCTATGTCTTTTTTTTTTCTTTTTTTTTAAAAAAAAAAAATCAAAAAGAAAACAGAAAATTTTTAATAATAAAAAACTGATTCAATGAACCTCAAGAGGGGGTTCATTGATTTGGATGCTCTAATAAACAATTGGGTCTTATCTGCAATCAAATCAGGTATATTTGCTTTTCGGTTATTTTATTTTGAATAAAAGTCGTTTGTGATTATGCTTTTGGCAAAAGGTTTGTTTGCCTTTCTGTTGGTGAAATCCTTTTAATTGGTCATTACGTAAAATTCCATGTCTTATTATTCACGTCAGATGTGTTATTCTTTTTTCCTTGTGAAATTCCAGTCACACCGCATTATAAGAACAATAATAGAAATTAATATTCCCATAATAAAATCTTATAAAACGTCATCTAGTAGCTATGACCATGCTTCGATGTGTCAAAATCCTTGGACCAAATAAATCACTAGCCCACTACTGTAGTAAATATCCTCACGTGATATACGCGTTTTAATCCAACAGTCAAATTTAATACGTCTTCACTTTCACTTCCACATAATAGTAAATCTAATAGTATAACCTTTTCTGCAATATTTAATTTGTGTAATCATCAGTAACCCCGGTAATAACGTCCTTAATTGCGCAATAATAATAATTGGCTGTATTTGTCCATAATAATTACTGTCGATAATAATATTAAAAAGAATATAAATTGGAAGTAAAAGTAAATGAGCGGAGTCAAAGACTTCAGACAGATCGTCGACTTGGAAAAAAAAAACACAGTGGGTCCCACTCTCTTCCCTCTTCCTCCTCCTCAAATCTCTTCTTCTTCAGACAAAACTCGCTGTTAAATGATTATCTCTGTTGTTCTTCGATCCAGCTCTTGAAACATGGGAAGCTGCTGGTCCGATGGAGGTGGTGGTCGTGGTGGTGGAATGGTCGGTATTGGCGGGAACACTTCTTCTTCCTCCGCCGCCGCCGGATACACTAGTCCTAACGACGCCGTTGACCATTACCTCAAGTCTCGTGGCTTCAACGGTCTCTTCTCTCAGATCGAGGTTTCGTTTTTCTTCAAATCTTGTACTTCCTTTAGACTTCTTTCACTTCATGTCTTGTCTTTTTCCTTTCGTAGCTTTCGTTCTCTGCTTCCAATTTGCGAGACCGGGACGTGACTTCAAAGGTTTGTGCTTTTGTAATAATATGTCTTAAAAGGAACTTTCTTTTAATCTTATGTATACTTGTGTTTGTGGTATGTGCAGAGTGATGCAATGGTGGTTGTTTATATAAAAGGAAGAGATGGAACATTAACTGAATCGTTCCGTAGTGAAGTTGTTTTTAACTCTTTGAATCCTAAATGGATTAAGAAGTTTACTATTCGTTATCAGTTTGAGGTTGTGCAAACTTTGCTGTAAGTTACTCAGAACTCTGCCTTAATATGCGACTTAATGTAATGAAAATGAAGTCAAGTTTCTCTTCTGCACAGGTTTCGTGTGTATGATATTGACACTCAGTTTCAGAATTCGAAGGAGGAGGTATGTGTAAAAGAATCTCATTATATGCTCTCTCATGTTCAATTGTTCAAGTTGTTATACATTATATGATTTGTTGATTATTTTTATTTCAGATGCTTAAGCTAGACGAGCAGCAGTTTCTCGGTGAGGCAGCATGTACATTGTCTGAGGTATCCACTGCTTAATATTATGGTTCTTTGAATTACAAAGAAGCAGTCTCGTTGTAGTGCTTGGCTTGCTATTGATTAAATAATTGCAAATGGTATGCAGGTTATCACCAAATCAAATAGGACCATAGCTTTAGAGCTCATGCGTAAAGAAGGTGTTGCTGCACAGACTCAACCACAGAACAATGGAAAGCTTATTGTCCATGCTGAGGAGTCTCTAGCTTCTAAGACCACAACAGAGATTGTTTTTAAGTGTTTGAATTTGGAATCAATGGATCATTTCTCTAAAAGTGTAAGCTATTTGTATTAATACTCTAATTACTTCAGACATATTGTAACATGAATTATCTTCCTCAGGATCCGTTTTTGGTGATATCTAAGATTGTAGAGCTCGGAGCTCCAATCCCGGTTTCTAAAACCGAAGTCTTGAAGAATGAATCCAATCCGGTTTGGAAACCAGTTTCTCTAAGTGTTCAACAAGTGGGGAGTAAGGTAAACAGAGAGGGTTTCTTTCTTACATCTTAGTTTTGTCTGAACAGGAAGGTGTAACGGTTTCTGTTCTGTAATAATTTTTCAGGACACCCCTTTGGTAATAGAGTGCTTAGACTTCAATGGCAATGGCAACCACAGTCTTATTGGGTAAACCACAAACTCTCCATTACTTCCATTCTAGTTTAGGATATGGGGATGAGTTGCTTAAACTGAGATACTTCTTGGAATTTGCCAGAAAAGTTCAGAAGTCACTTGCAGATTTAGAAAAGCTTCATTTGAGTGGTCAAGGAATCAATTTATTTTTACCAACTGGTGTTGGACATAAACAAGAAGACAAGGTATGGATGTTCAACAATATCACAATCTTAATTGCTAGAAAGCTGATACCATTTGTCTTTGTTTCAGGCATTAAAGAGTCAGCTTTTTGTGGACAAGTTTACTGAAACTGTTCAGCATACGTTCCTAGAATACTTGGCTTCTGGTTTTGAATTGAACTTCATGGTCGCAATTGATTTCACTGGTATGAATAAAAGTATATGAAGAAGTTCAGAGTGTCTCAAGACTAATGCATTGTCTCTCATGTTTCAGCTTCAAATGGAAACCCTCGCCTCCCAGATTCACTGCATTACATTGACCCTACAGGAAGATTAAATGCCTACCAAAGAGTAAGGACACTCATATTATTATCCATAGTTTTGTTACTTTGACTGTGTCTGATCTTCTTTGTTTCATTCTGTTCAGGCAATAGTGGAAGTTGGAGAAGTGTTGCAGTTCTATGACACTGACAAGCGTTTTCCAGCATGGGGTTTTGGTGCTCGTCCTATAGACATCCCAGTTTCACATTGCTTTAACCTCAACGGAAGCAGTACTTACTGTGAGGTCTGTCAACAAAATATGAACCATCATGTTCTCAAGTTAGCAACATGAAACTAACTTTATCCTTTTTTGTTTTTTTTTCTCAGGTAGATGGGATTCAAGGTATCATGAATGCATACAATGGTGCTCTCTTCAACGTCTCCTTTGCAGGGCCTACTCTCTTTGGTCCTGTTATCAACGCTGCTGCAACAATCGCAAGCGAATCACTCGCTCAAAATGCAAGGAGATATTACGTCTTGTTGATTATCACTGTGAGTTTATGTCCTTGTGTTAAGGTTTTTTCATGGTTCTAAAAATAGGTATATGCGCCGAAACAAATTTTAAAAGTTCTGATTTATACAATTCAAATTGGGTTAAACTGTTATAAATCGGTTTAATTCGATCTGAATTAGTCTAAATCTGTTAAATTAAATATAATGTTAGTACAAAGCTGTGGATTTGTCAAATTTCTTTGGTTTTGTATATCTAATTTTTGATAGTTCATCAAAATAATTTTATAAAAAGACAATGTAAACTGAACTTGCCTGTTTTTTATAGGATGGAGTGATAACAGATCTGCAAGAGACAAAAGACGCATTGGTCAATGCATCAGATCTACCATTATCAATCCTCATCGTTGGAGTAGGAGGAGCTGACTATAAAGAAATGGAGGTTCCTAATTAGAAAATTTTAACACTACAAAGTTTGTGGTTTTACCATTAGATTCTTACACTCTTTGTTGTTGTTGTTGTGTAGGTACTAGATGGAGACAAAGGAGAGAGATTAGAAAGCTCGAGTGGTCGTGTAGCGTCACGTGATATCGTCCAGTTCGTTGCATTACGAGACATGCAATGTGAGTCTTGTTTTTGTTTTGGCTCAAGAAACAAACGCAGCGTTTTTGGTTGGCTGATGATTTGTTGTGTGTGTGTGTAGATGGAGAGGTCTCAGTGGTAGAAGCGCTTCTAGCGGAATTGCCTACACAATTTTTAACGTACATGAGAAACCGTAATATTACTCCCACAAGTACTACCACCTCTGCTTCTTGATGCATTCTCAAACACTCTGTACATACGTTCAGCTCAACGCTGTCGTTTTGATTTTGTATTTTATATTATCTGGAATTTTTGTATTTCCAGTATGCTACGTCAAGTTTTACTTTTTTTTTCTTTGATTTGTTTTTTTTTTCTTTTTATCTAAAGAAATATTATTTTTATTTAATATTATTTGCTAAATTACCAGTTGATTTGGGTATATTCAAAATCATGTATTCTTATCAACGGTCAACATATTAAGATGTTGACTTTCTTGTTTGAGGTGCTGACTTTTGTTTCTAAGCCGAGCTTTAAACGTGATCGTTGTTTATATTGAGTACTTTACCGCATTTATCGCAGAAAATCATCAACTTTGAAAAAATAAATGGAACTAGGAGTCTAGGGCAACCTTTTTCTTTTTATGAACATAATACAATTTCTTAACTAATTTAAAAATGTTATAGTGAGTCTTAGATATGCAGATTAAGAAAAGAGTGAATTATGTTGATTATCTATAAAGGGAAATTTGTGGAAGCAGTCTCATTAATAATGAAAGTGCTAATGAAGGGAGGCAAAGTGATATTTTCTTAATTACTGTACAAAACAAATATTTATCACTGAATATAGAATTAATCATAAGTAAAATAATCAAACTCATTTTCTTTCCTAGCAATTTCGAAAAAAAAAAAATTTATTCGTTTTCTTTCTAGTCAACATAACTAAACTTGACAAAAAAAAAAAAGCTACCCATGTGTATTTTCTGTTGTAAAGTGTTTCCCGATTCAAATTCATTGACATCTTAAATATACTTTGTCATTTGACTGACTTTCCTGTATGAACAATGCTTTCTTTTGTCGCACTCTTATACAATGTAGTATTTGTTTGTGTATAGACGAACAACTCATTAGCTAATTTAATAATAACAGGAGTATCAAAACATGGTTATTCAATGGTTGAATGTCCACGTTACAGATCGTTAATTGTCTAGTGATTCGGATTCTTGATCATTTTAAAATTTGTGGTCCCTTCAAAAGTATGCATGTTTCGTTTTCGTTTTTTTTCTTCAGGATGTCATACTACGTTTGCTGGGATTATTATAAGACTATTACAATGGTTTCAAACATCCTCCGCTTCATTTTTTTACATTCTACATCATCTTTTCTTTATTCCATCTCATTATTCAACATATATTTAATTTTTACCCATTAAAATAGTTTTGTTTGATAAAATTTAAAATATATGTTACAAATTAATAATTATTTTTTAAATATCCAAATTAAATAAACTTAATCTTTATTGATAGAGAATTTAAAATGATATATTTTCATATCAAAAATGAAAATAATTTATTTAATTTATAATAAAATAATTGGTTTTGAAAAAAACAAAGAAGATATGAAAATGTAAAAAAAACTTAAAAAAGTGACATGTGTTGTTAGTGATCTCCACTTCTTTCTTATTTTTCAAGAAAGTTTAATCCACATCATCGAATATTTTTCAACATTTCCACTGTATTGATTCAACTGTTGAATCTTTTATTCAACAGCTCAATTATACATAATCAAACAAAGAACCTCGATTTTTTTTTGAATTAATTGCGCGTGCTTTTTCAAAGAACATATATTTTTCCGAATTTTAGTCAAATGTCATGTTATGTCATCTAATTACTTTACATAATGTCGTATATTCTTTAAAACAAGGGTTGTCTACACGCGTGATAAATATTAATAGTATTATTTTTGCAAATTTCTCTCAAAGTTATGTTACTGAGCAAACAAGCAAGCCCTTGTTTTACTTTTTTTTGGTCAACTAACATATCTCTATATCAATCGAATAGGTTCAGCAGAATCAGCTAAACCAATACAGTCTAGAAATATATATATACTATATAAAGAAAACATGATTTCTGATATGAATAGACGAGCAAGTTGTTTTGTAAAAATATATATATTCCAATTTTGAAGCGAAAGCTAGTCATTACTCATAGCTTGAACGTATGAGTGTATCACACAATGTGCACAGTAACATTTGCTTACCATGCTGTGGAGTACCACGTAGTCTGTGGAGAGCTGAATCCTTCAGTTTGTAGTACGATCAAGTAGTCAATTTCTTAAAAAAATGTAAAATTCACCCAATGGAAGTCTGCAAATTACAACTGAACAAAATATGAGCACGCATCGCACGTGCAACGAAACATAACCAAAAACAAAAGTTTGTCGATTACAACTCTCTTGGTTCCTCTCTTACTTAATAAAACACCTCTTTGTCGACCAAAAGTAGGTTATTTTGGAAATATTAAGAGGGTGCTATAAAAAATTAATATTTGGGATAAGAAAAATAGTTAGTTGTGAATCGGGGACTTGTCAAGGACCCATACAAAGTGCTTTGTGAATGTATCCTTAAATAATTTGTTTGATACCAAAACGTTACTTTCTCTAAATATTATTTAGATTTTCTTTTGATCTTTTTATTTTTATTGTGAATATTTCCGAGAAAAATATTATACTGCAAAACTGTAACTTTCTGGATCAAGAACGACTGTGTGTGTGTTTTAACTGTTTAGTAAAAATATTAACATCTCTGAATATAAATTATTAATAAGTTATAGACAAACTATGCCGTCATTCGACTTAACGCCAACTTTGAATTCAGTAATTGAAATAATCTGCTTGTAGATTATTAAGCTTGAATCTTGCGACTTAGTGTATGCATTTGAAAACGTTTAGTTGATCATTGGCATACAAAACTTACATAAATAGATTTATAAATAGTTATAAACCAGTAAAAAGAGACTTCAAATTAACAATATGTTCATTTCACATCTTCATTTCACATATTTTCTCTTGAATTAATGATCAGTGTGTACACACACACATCTCTTGGGTGTATAACTAAGATTTTTTCAATCTCTATCCAAATCTTTTATAGGAGATAAATATAAGATTCGACTTCAGAAAAAAAAACGAATCCCATCTCACGTACGATCTCTTTATTTATTTAATTATATTTTTAATGAATGAAAACCAAAGTTGTTATATTCTTATTCCTTAACTTTTTTCAGAGAATGTCGGTTTAATTTACAAAGAATATATGTCTTTCAAATATAAAATTAAACCTTAAAAGATAGAACCTTTTCTGTTCCCGAAAAGAAACCAGTTAAGAATATGTACATGCATGCATTTTCCTTCTTTGTTTTTTTTTGTAAATCATTTTGGATCTTTTTACAGCGTTCATATCTATTTAAATTCTTCTGTCAGAGCTCTTTTTTAGTAATCTTTATTGATATCAATTTCTTAATTTGTTCTGATTCACACGTACGCATTTTTTTTTCTATAAGCAAATCAAAAGACCATTTCACGCGTCTCTACAGTTTTATCAAATACACTCATATAAGTGCATGATTTTATGTGTTTCCAAAATTATGATATAGCTTAGAAAACTAAAAAAAAATTGAAAAGAATATGCAAAACTTCAGTTTGACGTTTTCTTTTATTTCTCTTATGTTCACACAAACAAAAATGCTTCTATAAAACCTTCAAATTTGCTCATTCCTAAACCCTAACTAATATCTCTCTTCCACTTTCCTTGTCTTCTTTGTTCTCATTTTCAACGCATCGTCTATTTGAAATAGTACAAAATCGGAAACCCTAAAATCTAAACCTCTAATTAAAAAATAGAGGGGGTTAATCAGAAGCTTTGTGAAATATGGAAAATCAGAAGAATAATGGGAAGAGGCCCTTTCGAGCTGGTGAATCTGAGAAAAAGAAAGAAGCCGACGACGAGAATATATTTCCGTTCTTCTCGGCTCGATCTGAATACGACACGCGTGCCATGGTCTCAGCCTTGAGTCAAGTCATTGGAAACCAAAGCAGCACGCATGAAAATAATCTACATCACCCCGTTGAGTATATTCAGCAAGATCCTATCCAACATGTTCCTCCTACTCAAGATCAAGGTATATATGTAAACTTATCTGATGCTATTTACATAAAAATGAGCAGGTCGATGGATATATTTTCTTATGGTATGTGTATATAACCATATATATGAGGTTAATCATTGATGTCAATTGTTGATGAAGGAAACTTGAGGAAAATACATTATAGAGGGGTAAGGCAACGACCATGGGGAAAATGGGCTGCTGAAATTAGGGATCCACAAAAGGCCGCACGCGTGTGGCTTGGGACATTTGAGACCGCTGAAGCTGCGGCCTTAGCTTATGATGAAGCAGCTCTCAAGTTCAAAGGAAGCAAAGCCAAACTTAATTTCCCTGAGAGAGCTCAACTAGCAAGTAACACTAGTACTATTACCGGTCTACCAAACTATTACTCTTCTAATAATCAAACTTACTACTCAAATCCACAGACTAATTCACAAACCATACCATATTTTAACCAATACTACTATAACCAATATCTTCAGCAAGGGGGAAATGGTAACGATGCATTAAGCTATAGTCTGGCCGGTGGGGAAGCCGGAGGCTCAATGTATAGTCATCAAACGTTATCTAATACCACTTCTTCATCTTCTGGTGGATCTTCAAGGCAACAAGAAGATTATGCAAGATTTTGGCATTTTGGGGATTCTTCTCCTAATTCGGGGTTTTGAATCCTCAAGAATAAGGGTTTTAGGTGACTTGTTATGAAGAGATCATATGTTCCTTGAGTGTTCTATTTTTATTATGAGTGTGTCGTTTGTGATCTTTTTTTTTTTTTTTTTTTTAAATTTCTTCTTTCCAGAGTTTTTAATTGGATTAACAACCCTTGAATTTAAATTAATTTCATAAAAGAATACAATATCAAAAATGTTAACCTTAAAAGTTATGGGAGTAGTCTCAAATAAGCACACATACAAATAAATTATTCATTGGTTTCTCAGTACATGATGTTAATGGCTATATCATATGGCGTGTATAACGTAGGTGATCAAAACGATATAAAATCAACGATAAAGGCCAAAGCAGAATATGTCACATCACATGATAGATGTAATATTACTCGTATAATATTTGAACATTTGTTGAGCCATTGAGGTTGAACAACAAAGATGTTAACATTTTTGTCCTATTGTCTTGGGAGATTAGTTTATTTAAAATCTAGATCACTTGAATAGTCTATGACTCCAAAAATATGAAAATATGGTTGTGTTTTTACAGTAGTATGTAAAATATAATAATACTATTTTGCTAATGAAAATAGTACTATTCAAGTCATTTCAATTAATCCGATAATTTTTTTTTCCAGTTTTGTCTAACATGGTAAATGTATGCACCATGTAATATAATGTTTGGCAAAATCTAATAAACCCATGCATTTTGAATGTCTTGGAATCTCCATATATATGATAAATTGATAATAATGATACAACTTCATTAACCCTTCCTTTATGAGCTCTGTTAACACACTATGAATTCTCAACACTACTACGTTTGTGGTTTGTACGGATCGGATCAGGTCATAAAGAATTACGTATATTATTAAGCAACACCGTCCAAATAGTTATAGTTGGTAAAGTTTATAATTGGTACAATTAGTATGATTGTGTTTCCAATATAGCCATTAGCCAGGGTCCCAAAAGTGACTTGGGTTACCATTAACAGCAGTTTAATGGGATTGGAAGTAACAACCAACAACTAACAAGTATGAAAACTTGACATAAACAGATTCCCTACGGTTTGTTCAACTCCTAGACTTTGTCAATCCAAAGAGGTTGACTCCTTTGACCCATGTTTCTATATTATATTTCTCTCGTTTTTATTTTATCTTAAAATGCACAACCCGGTATATACGTTATTTATGGTATACAGCGATATACATGCATATACTACGTTATTTGTGTAATACAGATTAATAAAATATTACACATAGAAGAAAATAACTAAATTTACAGGGCATTGCCATTTCAAGCTAGCTTCAGTGTACATCTTTTCAGAAATGAAAAAAAAAATGATTTCGTTTTGAAATTCAGAGACTCGTTGTTTATATCATCATGTCAATTGAAATGATGGTAACGATGATAATAAATTTTGGTTTAATTAAAAAACACTTTCCAACCAACGCGTTATCTCCTCTTTCTTTTGTCTTTCTTCTTTGTGAACCTTTCTTTCAGTTTACTTTTGTTAATTATTTTTTACATACTACCGTAAATGGTTAGTGCTTGGTATATGAAATCGGCGCCGACAAAAATCTGTACTTCAGGATATCCGTGTAACTTCAAAAGCATTATATTCTTTTCTTATTGCCACGCGTGGATGTAGCAGGTGTATCATTAAATCAAAAATTTGGTCTATAGGAAACCTATTGATCTGTATCATTAATCAAGAATTTGGTCTATAGGAAACCTATTCAAGTATTGATCGCTCCAGTAGAGGACTATTAGCATAATAAAACATGTTAAGGTTGCAACGTAATTACTAACTAGCTAGGCTAAAAAAAAAGCTAACCATAGTCTCCTATTTGTTGCCAAACCGTTTAACTTGTCGATCTATACCTAAACATTTTAACAAAAAGATGTAACTAAAATACACTAAAATGCTGTAAACAAACAATAAAAAATTTCAACTATAAAAAGTTTTGGATCAAACTGAGATAGCTGATTGTTTGTCAGCAGCAAATTATTTTCTTTTGGCCAATTAATGCTAAAAAATCTTTGATGTAGGTTCAGGTATCCACCGTTGCTTACAAAACAATTCAAATTTATTAACTATAATTCTAATTGATCCCGACAGACAGGAAGAATATAAGAGAGACTCAATAATTAGAAAATGTACATTGACGTCAACAGGAATTGGGGATGGCCGCACCCGCACGCACGTACGCCGGCCTGACACAGGTCCTTTCAACCTTTGCGGCCTTCTAAGCTCTCACAGATCTCAACTACTTCCTCTGCCTTAATTTTCAAACTTATCGGCCCAAAGAGGTATGTATGCAAACTATGCATGCAGACTTATTATACATGCATATAATAAACTTATTATCAATGTATGTATTATGTATGTATGTTTTGCTTTTTTTTTTCCTGTTTCCTTCGTATGGGGATGTTGAAATTGCACCGACTCACACGCATTGTAATGATGTATACAACGCAGCCCATTTCAGTTTTCCATATAGTCCGGCCCATTTTATATAAACCCAAGGAATAGAAAAAAACATGGTTGCTCAAAAAAAAAAGGAATGGCAAAACATTAAAAAAAATCCGACCTGCCGGAATCGAACCAGCGACCTAAAGATTTGCTGTCACAGACTACAGTCTTCCGCTCTACCAACTGAGCTAAGGTCGGCTTATGACAATTATACATTCACATATTATTAGTACAATATATTTATTTATTACTAAAAAATATTCCTCTTTGATTAAAGTTTTAAAATAGTATTATCATATAGTTTGATAATATGAAAGTATTGATTTTGTAAAAAAACTACTTAAACTCACTTTTCCATTTAATGAAAATTTCCTTTGTAATTCTACCAGCAAAAACATAAATTTGCATTTTTACATTTTATTTCATTCCACAAATTTTTTTGATTAACAAAAATACTGCAGAAAAACTGAAACTATGTCCAACAAACAATTTTTCTTTTCAAAATTCTTTACTCCACCGTTTTAAACTTCAAGCTTCGTCAGTCTTACGTTACAAAAAAAAAATCAAATCCACGGTCAATCAAGTTTTAATCAGACACGATTAACCCACCGGTTTGATTTAAAACCGGATGGAAACGCACGGTTTCAGTTTAACCGAATCACAAATGTAAAACCTGCTGAAAAACAGAGGATACAGAGGAGCTATGGGAGACTCTTGTCAAGGCCGGTATGTGTCATTAATCACCTGATATGTCAGTCACTTACGATGAACACAACGTGTTTATGTTGTTGAGTTATCTCCAGGCTACCTAAGCCCAACAGTTATGTTCTTGATGGAGCATGTTGATAAGGACAACAATGGAACTATAACATTCGAAGCAACCATCGAAAACATATATCATCACTGGGAAAGAGTGTGCTTGATAAACACTAGAGAACAAACTCAATAAGTAACAGAGGTTTTATCTTCTTCTTTTTTCTTGCTTAACAAGTTTGATTCTTCTGTTTTCAGAATGCAAGCAGATAGTTCAGAGACGACAATGAAACAAGAGGTTTCTACAGAGGATTCTTACCTAAACTTCTTAAAGTAGTATTGTTTATGAATCTATGGAGAAAAAACATGGCTCTTGATTAGCCATTACAAATTTTCTCGGCCTTAGACATTCTTTTTCCTCTAGGTTACGTGAGATAACAGAAACAAGCTGATTTAAATTTCTCAACTATCGATTTTTTTGTATGATCATTTACATTTTGATGTCAACTAAAACAATATTCCCCATGGTACTGACAACGATTGTATACCTATAAACATTTTTTTATTGAGAATGTACTTTCAACTTTACATATATTTATTTTAAATTCAGTGATTCATATCTGCTTGTTATTTTAATTATATTTTTTATGATACAAGCAACACTACAATAAAATGTAGGTTATATTCTGGAATTTTAAACTATTGTTTTCAAATTTCACATAGTACATACATCTTTTATGATTATGAACTAATGTTTTTAAATGAAACAACATAAATATGATCAATTGTAACAATAGTTTTAAGGATTTTCTTAAATAGTTAACCGATTGTTATGGCAAACAGCAGGCAAAATAATGCAAACACCGTGATAGCCCCCACAAATAAAAGCACATTTACAACAAGTTCCTTGTTAGTTATAGACATTGTAGATGCTATCCTCTTTCACATGGCTTGTAACTAAATAAAAGAGAGCAGGTAGTGAGAGATAATTGATTATGAATAAGAACTCTCTTTTTAAAAATAATAATAATAAGAACTCTCTAAAGAAAAGTATTTTTAAAAAATAATGAATTGCAACTAGAGATTTATTTTTTCTTTGTGATATAGACATGCTAGAAACAAAACTATATTGAGCCGACGATACAGTAGCCTAGTTGTAAAGTTATATGAAATTCCACAGTTCTACACTCTAAAAAATTAAGCCGATATAGAATTAATATCATCACTCTCAAGCCAAAAGTTTATCAGTTCATAAGTTTTAAAGCAATAAAAAAAATTGTGAATAACGACTTGGATCTTAATATATAAAGATAGTTGTAGAAAGAAACAACAAGATTTGTAAAGCTATTAAAAGCAATCAGAATACTTCTCGTTAGAGAATCAACACATCACCGGAAGAAGAAATAGCCAAAAGTAAAAACATTAAGAAGATAGTAAAAGAAGAAAGGCGTAGCCTTCCCTTTGCCTCTGATGACTTGCCGTTTGTATCTTTCTCCGTTAACAAGAACAGAGAAAGATAGCAGAACCGAGTTAACTCCGGTTAACCGTAGCTTGAAACCTTCTTAACGGCGTCTTCTTGTTCCGTTTCTTCCTCCATATCTTCTTCTTTTTCTTCTTCTCTTCCTTAGATTAGTGAGAAGGAGAGATGAAATGTTTAGTGTTCCTTTTAGTCTTCTAGGTCTATCTACAACCCATTTATAATGCTTCATTTGGTCCCATATCCAAATCATTATTAATATACTATTGTTATCTTTTAATCATACTTTTGCTCAAATTTATTTCAACCCATGGAATCTTTATGAAAGTTATACCTAACTTCAGTAAAATTTTATTAAACACTTCAATAATGTGCATGTTTTACTCTTAAAAGTATTTGAGTTTGCATTATTGATAGAATACTAAAGCGCGTGATAGTATTTATATAGATGGATCAGTATTATTAACAAGTAAACAGTTAGTTCAAATGGCTTTATAAACTCGTTAAAAAGGTTTTACTAAGTTTAAATTCAACGCTTTGTTTCTAAATCAAACTAATTCAGATAACAATTACACAAGTTAGTTAAGTGGCAATTTAGATTTAAAGGAAAAATCATATACTATGGTATAATATACATTCAGGAAAACTCAAATACTATGATAATAAAACACAAGCGGGTTATATATTAACTTCTTTTTTTTTTGTCAAACAGCGGGTTATATATTTACTATGTCGTCATTTCCACTAGGCAATAATAAATTATAGTTTTTAATTAAAATAAACAAACCATACTTTTCGAAAAAATTAAATACTCATTGTATAGGAGGTGATCAAGTTTAGTGGTCATACGAGGACCACTTAGCTCATCCGTGCATCCAACTGACATTGAGCTTGTATCAATTTATGAAAAAATACTTATTTTTTTCCGTAACAACAACAAATAAATGGTGATATACTTGCATATATAGTAATTAACTCTTACAGTTTATGAATATGATAATTAAAAAGTTGGCTGCACCATATGCCAAAAAGGTGCATTTTCTGAAAGATTATGACTTTCACAACAATCCTAGCTTGACACATCACTGCTTACGTACGAACTATGACAAGAATGTACTGCATGGGTATTTTTTTTCTTTTGAATAACTTTTAACTGCATGAATATTTATTTTATTTTAACAACTTTTTATTTAATTATATTGACATTTAAAAAGTTGTAATACTCTGTATATAGTGTGTGTGTGTGTGTTAACTAATTTGTGTGTTCTCCAATATCAAGAAATTTGAACATGAAAAATAAGATAAAATAACATTTTTATACGATAAGCCTAAACAAAATCCAGTCTAATAGTAAACAAGTTGTGGATTATAAGCAAATCTGAATGGCATAATCTTTCATAGTAACTATTGACGAATGATATGATAAATTGAACTGTTAAAATTTAAGTTCAAGAACCTCCTTTCAGTTGAAAGAAAAAGCCTAATTAATCGCAAAAACTGTGAACGAGCTGCTAGCCGCCGTATTTTACCATTTAAAATGTAAATTATGAGCATCGTATAAATGTGAAATATAAGTAGAAAGAATACTCCATGAATATTATCATCAACTTTTGAGTGTGATCTTCTAGTTAACTAAATTTGTGGTTTATTCTTAGCAAAAGTAACATCACTAATATAATCTTAGTAAGTAAAAATCACGATACGAGGGAATAAAAATTATCGTTGAGAAAGAAGAACCTAAAGCATAGGAAGGAATGTGAATATGATTTATATATTTGACGTATACAATTAACTAATGTGTAGTGTAGGCCTTTCTTTATATAGGTAAAGCTCTTTACAACGTTTTATTTTATAACAAAACTAGCAATGGACAATAATCACGTCGAATAAGCACTAGTCCCACTAGAGTGGGAGCCAGTAAGCAACCATTACTACTTCAACTCGTATCAATTTATTATATTGAATTCAATATATGAATATAGTTTTAATTCCTTATTGAGAAAGCTTCGTACCACTTTACTTACGCCTTATCACAAATGAAGCATGTTTCTTTTACGATTCTATAAAACTTTGATTAGAATTGAAAGTACTACTCAGAATATAGAACACTCTAAAAGATAGAGAAAAAAGCATTTACGTTTTAATTGTTTGCATAAATAAACACAACTACATCTCAATATCTCATTGATAAACAATTAAAAAATAAGTAAATAAATATGGTACGAAGACTAGATCCACTTTAATTAGCGTTATAGTTTATCTAAACACAACTCTTCAAGCCTTTTGGATAATACAAAATCTCTAGACGGTAACTAAAAGTTTTGTAAAGACGATTAGGATCGATTTTTAAAAAAGCGTTAAAAAAAGTTGACTTATTAATGATTTACCATCTATACCGATCTTTTAAGAACATTGATCTGAACAATGTAAGAGTCAAAGACACTACTTTTCTCTTCTTTGTTTTTTTATGTAATGTGATATAACATATCGCCCTTAAGCAAATGAAAAATAGTTAGACCATGATTAATCCGAGGTTCTTAAAACAAGATTCTTAGTGGAAACTAAGAAACTATTTCTTAACTTTTAATTAAAAACGACTTTAAGAACCAGTTCTTAGTATTTTTAGATAAAAGTTAAGAAACAGTTTCTTAATTTCCTAATTTCCGTTAAAAATCCCACATTAAAAACCCGGGATTAATCATGCTTTTAGACGATAGAAACACACAAAAAAAAAAACAGTAAGGATAAGTTCGAACTTACGGCTTTATTTCAAGTCCTATATAGAAAACTCTCTTTCAAAGTCAAAACTATAAATTAAAAAAAAAAAAGGAACAATCTAAAACGTTACAAAAAGTTCGATGACATGTCTTTAAAACCCTTAGAGAAAACCGACCTGACACTTCTTCTCTCCCTCCTCCTCATGGTCCCTTCTGAACCATATCCGATAACTTACCGGCGACCACCACCGGCAGGCTTTCTAGCCGGAGCAGTATCCTCATCATCTGATTCAACATCACCATACTGCCATATTCCAGTTCTTGACTTACGAGCTTCCTCCTGGTACTTCTCCAAAGCATCAAGAGCAGCTTTTTTGTCCTTGTGCTCAAATCTCCTACGTTTCTCCATCCTCGCTATTCCTCCCTGTGTTATCATAAACACATTCTTAAAACATGTTTTGTGGAGAAAAAGTGTGTGAGAGAGAGAAGAAACCAACCTGAAGCATTGCAGCGTTCACAGAGATCTCATCATCAACAGCAATGAGAGTGACAGCAAGTTCAGTTCCAGTGCCTTGTCCTTTGACTTTGCCTCCAGATGTGTCTCTTTCTTCTATCACTGCTTTGAACTCTTTACCACTTCCTAGCGTTATTGTATGCAGATACTCTCCTGCTTCAGGACCAAAGTCTTCTTCCAAGCTTGGAACCTTAATGTAAGCAAGTCTACAGAGCTGAGCAAGCCCTGGTGCTGAGGAGACCGATGGATCAACTGGTCGGATTGCACTGTACGGGACTTCCTCTTGGTTTCCATAATCTATATAGAACACTTCAAACTTCTCATCTGGGGACTCAACAGCTGCACGTGGCGCAGTCACAATCTGAAACAAACATGTAAAGATTTAAGTAAGAAGTAAACAAAAGAACAGAAGCTAAAAAAGTGGATTGGTATGGTAAAGGTAAAGGTAAATACCATTGCACGGTTCCAGGAGTTGTCAAGGCTAAACTGTGCAAGAACAATGTCACCTCTCTTAGGGTTGAAAGATCCAAGGATTGGAGCATCTTTAACACTCAAAGATGCAAGCTGGTTTTGAATAGAAGCTATCCTCTGATCTCCAACCGTTTGGACATAGAACCGACCACCTCCAAGCACTTCTGTAACAGCAACCTTTAATGTCTCCTTTTGTCTGGTCTCAACGGTTGTACTTCCGTTTGAGACTTCTTCTCCTTCAACATAGTTCTCCCAAATCTGCAAAAATTTCAAAAAAAGGTTTAGAAAAGAGGATTTTATTTTTTACTATGTGTTGCTTTGTTACCTTCAGTTTCTGATTCTTAGCAGATCTCTCTGCTTGTTCAAGTATATGAGCTTCAACAATCCTGTCTGCACCAAAGCTAGTCTGCATTTTTGCTAAGCCAGCTTCAAGCAGAACTGTCGCCACATTTGTCCTAGACTCCCACATTGATCCCAAGAAAGTACCGGTTCTATCAACGGTCTCAACTTCAATCTATAGAGTTTATAACAGAACATTATCACCAAACCATTTATAACAAGAGGAAACTTAGATGTAAGTTTTAGCAATATTCACTTACCTCAACATCTCTCTGCATAATCCTACGTCTCATTACAGAGATAGCTTCATCTGAAAAGGGCTCTCCACGGCCAGGGCATCTAACACCAGAGAACGCAAAGGCAATGCTACATGTTAGCTTTGGAATATAAAGCTTACACCTATGTCCGCTTAGGACATATTCCACAACAGCTGGTATCCTCCTGATTCTTTGCAGTGATGGCAAGAAATCTTTAGCTTTCTTAGCTGCAGCCTGAGAAAAATATAAGTTGAAAAATTAGTCATGAAAATGTTTTTTTTTTTAATAGGAATGTCTTATATATGTTTTACTAACCACAGTGAGGTCTGTGATGTGCATGACAGGAGATTCTTTAGCAGAATGGATTCCTTTCTTTCCAGACAAAGCACGAGATTCAGCAGCAAGAAGAGCATCATAATGGTTTGATCTCTCTTCAAAATCTCTATGTCTGACCACATTTCCAAAACCACGAGACAGAAGAAGCTCAGCAACGTTCACTCCAGCTGGCTGACTTCCAGAGATAGCTGATGCAGCCACTTCCTCGGTATCGCCTTTAGCAGGAGATGGAATGAACACTGAGCCAAAATCCATTATCCTATCAGCGGCACCAGCTGTGGTAGCACCTTCTGCTGGTGTGACTTTCCTTGAGTATTCCATTTGAACAATAACCTGACAAATGCAATGATGAGATGTTTCCTATTAATTGTCGTATTAGAGTTTTAAATTTGTTTAGTTTTAAGTGTTGTTCTATGTTTTTAATGCATTTATTTGATAGTTTTGCAATTTTAGCCCATTAATGACATAATCAATAAAGCAATGTATTAACCTACCAAAAAAATAAAGCAATGTATTTATTAATATGCAAGTAGTTTTAGCTAAAAGTGATAATATCCAATGACAAAAATGAATGAATTATTGGATTTTTTTTGGCTAAAACTACTCACATATTGAAATAGAGGGAGTAAAATTTAAGTTTTTTTTTTAATCTGTGTGAAAAGTGAAATGGAGGAAGCACCTGTTTGCCAATAAGTCGTTGTCTCAAGAACTCTCTTGCTTCACGAGCATAAGGAGCTGGCTTCTCTTCTCTACGTGGGTTTCCCATTTTTGGACATCTGATACTCGAAAGATTGACCCTTCTCTCAGCAGCTGGGCTACCATATGGAAGGGCATCATTGGCAACTACAATACAGTCCCCACTAACCACCTCCACTACCTAAAGAAAGATTAAACCAATTGACTCAAAAAAAAAAGTAAAGGAGAGAAAGACAGTATTTAACCAAGAGAGATGTTTACCTTTCCAGTAAAGTTCTGGTCATGAAGTGCCTTAGAGTTTGTAGCTGGAGGAACATAGTTAGCCCACATTTTCACCTTATCTTTTTTGCATTGAAGTTCAGCAGCTTTCAGCTTCCTCTTGGCTTCCTCCTCCATCATGTTAGCACTCCATTCAACATATTTAGCAAGACCCTTAAGGAAAAAAAATAAATATTAAAACCAATGTCATTAACTTTGTCATAGTTTTTTACAACTAATACAATCACATACATTTTCAACTAGCTCCAACCCCAAGTCTTTAACTGCTTCACCATCAGAGTAATGGACTGAACCAATCAGGTTGTTGAATTTGTCAACTCCTTCAAGAACAATGCGAACCTGCAAATTTCAAAAATTAAAATAGTCCAAAATGCCATAAAAACAAAGACAAACAAAAATGAAGGAAACTTACATCTCTGCTAAGAACACGATGCTCAGTAAAGTACTTGGCTTCAGCTGCAAAAGGATCAGCAGAAACCTCTACAGAGGATGCTGCAGAGACAGCAAGTCTCTGAGCTGAAGTTAGAGGACCTTTGGACTCACCAGAAGCATCTCCATTGGACTCATCTGGAACCGTCTCAACAACGTTTCCATTTGTGTTTCTTCTTCCCATTGATGGAGACTACATTTAAAAACAAAGAAGATGTCTTAACTTTGTTGCATCTTAAAAAAGTCAAACAGAGAAGCAAGTTCAATTCACCTGGATTCCAGCAATAAACACTTGCACAAACTGGAACTCTGGAAGAAGATAAACACGGATAGTACTTCCATCACGGACTTGCTCAACAATACCTTCCATAGGCTTGCCTTTGTTGGTAGATAAAAGCCCCATGGCGTCAAAGCCTGCAGAGTCTCCAATGGCAGAAGGAGGAAGGTCTCTGATAGATGCCTCAGCAGCACCAGGAACCTGGAGTTTTGATAATCTCCATCATCAAATCAAATAAGAAACTAAATGATTTTGGCGGATTAAAGTAAGGAAGAGGAAGACCAACCTTGCTCCAAAGACCATATCCTTCTTGAGTAGCCTGCTCTTGGAGCTGTAGCAGCTCTGTAATGTAAGGACTAACCTTACCCTGATTCTGCTGACCTGGTTCCCTAACCTGTCCCATAGTACAAGCATTATGTTAGAATGATGAGGTAAATCACAACCATATTATCTGGAGAGAAATATAATGGTTAATTATTATTATCATCACCTTTGCCCAACCATTTTGAACAACAAGCTTTGCAACATTCTGGTTTCCAATGAAAACAGAACCAAATTCTCTTCCGGCAATAGCTTCCACTTTGTAATCCACTTTGAAAGCAACTTCCTGTTCAAATAACAAACATATAACTTGAGATGAGAAAAATAAAGTCAATCACAATACTTATTGTGTGCAAATAGATTTGTTGCACCTTTCCAATGCAAAGTTTCCTCAGAAACTCCTTGCTTTCCCATGCAAAAGACTCATCTTTACCTCCCCTACGAGCCTAAGAAGAGAAAATCCAAAAGTTATTAAAAATAATACTCTCGGTTTCAATTTAGTTGTCATTCTATGTTTTTGCACACAGATTAAAAAACAATCAATTTTACATATTTTCAAAATAAAAACACAATTATTTATACATCTAACTACTTTTCAACCAATGAAAAAATAAAATGACATTTTAAATTAATAAATTTTGCATTGAAATTATAAAATTGAAATGATAGAACTATACTTATTTTGAAACGAAAATTTTACTCTAGAAAAATATATAATTTGAAACGGAGGAAGTAATAATGATGATGGTGGTGCACAAGAGAGTTGACTTTTGGAAGAAAAAAAAGAGAGTATAAGCTCTCACCATCTTAGGTGCCATGAGAGAAGATAAGGTGATAGTCTTTTCCGGTGGAGCTCCTGGTCTGTTATGTGTCAAAGCAGTGATCACTAAACAGTCTCCGGATGTAACAGCCTTCACTCTTCCCTTGAGCCATTGGTTCTCTGTCGCTGATGCCATCTTCACCAACACACAAATAAAACATTCATAAAAATAAATTCAATATGCATTGGTAACAACTATATGATCAGAATCAGATCATCCAAATCACGAGACACAAAGCTACATGCATCAATTAAAAATGCAATAAATTGATTCCTCGATGCATCACAAAAAAATGTACATTTCGTTTCGATCTACACTGTAGAGTTACGTTGGATCGAATCAATCAAACCGAAACAGAACAAACAACACATTAGCGCACGATCATAAGGTGTGAAAACAAATCAGATCGGAACTAATAAAGAATGATCAAATAAAACTCAGCAAACAAATAGATCTACAATGACTTCTTTCGATGGTTTCAATGAAACGTACCTTGATTAACAAATAGAAGAAGAAGAAAAAAACTTAGATCTGGAGATCCTTCTCTGACTCAATCTGTGACAGAACACAAATGAGAGAAGAAACTCTGAGTTTAGGACAAAAAAAAAGTTAACGGCGGATCTCGAGATTAGAGGTAAGAGACACAGGGGAATTGTGCAGAAGGAGAGGTGTGAAAAGATATATAAACAGAGTTATAAAGCAGAGGGGGGGAGGTAATAAGAAATTGTCTATTTTACCCTCGTTGTTTCTGATATATTACGAGTATATGCCATTGACAAAAGCTGAAAAGAGTTTGGTTTTAAGGATCGTACCGAGGAAAAGTGAAAACCACATTGTCTGATTCCACTTTTTGAGTTTAACTACTACAGATCTGCCCTAAATTCTACTTTAGTATTTACCCGATTTTGCATAGCTAGCCCTTCTGATTATTTTCTTTTACATTTTTAGACTTTATAATTACTCTTTATTCAATATACCACCACATTTAGAGTGACAAAACAGCTTATCGAAGCAATAAAGGAGAGAGCTATTTTTGGAATGACTGATACTATGGCAATAAATAGATGATTATCAAAAAGTTACGTCTCTATCCTCTTAACATATTTACCTATTCTGACAAGTATTGGTAGAAAAATAAAAATTCCAAAGTAAAATAATAAAGAGCAAATTACCTTAAAACCAACAAATATAGTGATATTAAGAGAATGTCAAAACCAGTGAAAAGTCAGAAGTTATTGCAATATCAGAGCATATAAAATTATCTCCAAAGCTCTATATTGTAGGTTTATAGATAGTATGAAGTTCTGTTAAATATGTTTTGAAGATATTGTAAAGAATTTGTGAGAACAAATTCAGTCATTTAATTCGTAAATTTAAATAAAAATTATATTTTTCTATTTCATCATCACTAGCTTCTATCTTTATTTTCATTTTTATGTTTCTTTTTTATTCTTTCAATTAATCCAAACAAAGTCAACGAAAATAAAAGTTTCAAGCAAGAACATGAGTTCAACATTTTTTACTTTTTACTTTATTTCTTTTTCTACATAATCACTTGATTACATCCAACCACTCATCACCATAATCCTAAAACAAACTTATTTTTGCCAAAGATCATCCTCCAACGTTTGAAGATTCATTTGATGTTTTCGAACACCTATTATATAGACACAAAATATGGTACTTAAATAAAAATTAGTTTAGCCTATTAACAAATATGTGTTACACATTTATTATATTTATTAACTAAATACCAAAACGTTTCTCCAACCAAAACTTATTTTAAAATAATGATGTTTAAAGTTTTAACAGAAAATTAATAAAATGATATTACTTGGTTTGATTTTATCAACGGTGATTGGGTGAAATACTTAAAACTGCTGATTCTTCTGTGTTAAATGTTTAATTTCCGAATCTTTCCAATTGATGATTTGGAGTTTATCCTTCTATCATCAACTGTCACCTTCTGAAGGTTACGTGTACGGCAATTAATGTGTAAGATAGAGGAACTAAATTGCACGTGACTATAAATAAAAGAAACATTTGTAATAACTCCAACTTAAATACCAAGTCAAGGCATTGTTGAGAAATATCCTTTTAATGGAAAATTTTGGAATAGTTTAGAAAAAGAGAAATTAACAACGAGGAGACTACAAGGTAAATTATTGTAAGGAAAAAGAAAATGTTTTCGGCTCATTTGTTTATGGTTGGACTATAGCTATACACTTATACACACTGAAATTTCCAATTGTTTATGCTAGTGTGATATCGAACTTAACGCGATGGCCATTAAGGTCATAGACTCATAGGTCAAAGGTAGTGCAATAAATTCTCACCCATAAAACTCGCAGCGCCCACAGAATTAATTACGTCTATACACACACATTTCCCATTCTGGCATTCCCTCTTCTAGTAAAACAAAATTGCAAAAAATTTAAAACATAAACAAATACATTTATTTTAAATAAATATAATTTTATTATTTCAATGTAAAATTTATTAATTTTATGTAATATTTTTTTATTTCTTGAAATATAGTTAGATGTAATAATTTTTTAATTTCAAAAATAGGGAAAATTAAATATATTTTTTAATTTATGTGTAGAAATCTAAAATGACAACTAAAATGAAACATAAAAATACAGTTTTATAATTAAATTTTATTTTTTTCTAAAAATAAACCATTTAAAAATTGACAAATGACAAAACAGTATCATATGGGTTTCTTAGAAATTATCTGTCACGAAATGAAACTGACGTTTTTGACTCCTCTGTAATTAATTACTTCAATATTTTTTGCTGTAAAAACTCCAATCTAATACTTCTATTATTATACCTGTTCTAAATCCATCCATAAAAGAAGAAACAGTTCAACCATGAAGCCAATAACTCAATAAGAATATTTCTAGGCTCTAAAACCCAACTAACTACATAGAACTTGGAAAAAAATTATTATACAAATAATTTTGTTAAATTTCTGACTATATTATTTCCAAAATCTCAGAAGTCAGAACCGAAGATCTCAGTAATTTTCTTAGTTAGTAATTTCTCGTGGTCAAATATCCCGCGCATTACCGGGCCACGTTCTATAAGAGACTTGTTATAAGTTTCCCTAATCCGATGTCAGTATATCTCATACTGCAGATTTGTTTTTTTTTTTGGGGAACAAGAACAAAAACAATATTAAATCACATCATGTCTAAAAATTTAAATCAAAGTTGTTCAACAGGAAACGGTTAACTCAATAATGTTTGAAAGTTTAAACATTAGCAAAGGTAACTTTTAAAAATTTTCTTTATGGAAACAGAACTTGGTGGTGGTTTCATGGGAGAACTCCTTTGCCAAGAGTTGTTGCTCTTTCACTCCGGCAGATAATCCGCAACAAAACACTCCTGCCAAATAACACCAAACATTCACACTCTCTCGCGTTCAGTCTATATATATGCATAATAAGCATTAAGATAAGATTTGTTTATTTGCAAAAAAAAAAAAAAAATGATCAAACTCACCAACTCTTTTGTTCTCATGCTCCTTAGCGATCCTTTTGTAAATGCTCCTCCAATTTGGCCTATTGAATTGGGACATGAAAGGTGTCCCTGTCACAACATCCCTTCCGTGCTTGGCCTGGTGCAGCGTCTGGAGCATCATGATCAGTGAGGACCTCACGTCTGATGCCTGGTGGATGCCGGTGCAGTAATTATGAAGCTCGATTAATTCCTTACAATCTGCTTTGGCCACTTCGTCCATCGCGCTCTGGAACCAGTCAAAATTTTCTGCTTCTCTTGTGGTCCAGTAAAAGTAAGCCTTCTTAATTAAGAACTTCTCGTTTTTTCTTGTAGGAGGGCTGACCATGTCGTGGTTTTGGTTTCTCCTACTTTCTTTTAAGTTATTGATTATGTCCTTGACGATGCTGATCATCGGAGTAACTCCGCTTCCAAGACCCACTAGAAGAACAACTTCGAAATTCTTATAGTCTTGTGATGGTGCTCCATATGGACCGTCGATTAGTATTTTTGGTAAGCTAAGGGTTTAACAGTTCAAAGTTTAAAGCAGTTTAATATCCCTTCTATTATATGGTTCAGTGAATAATTGATTGACAAGAATTACCTAGGCCTCGGGACGGCTCTATTGAGTATGTATCCATCAGGGAGGGGACACTCCTTAGGATCAGATACATATAAATGAAATTACATACTTGGACCCACTTAATCTTTAGGGGTTTATGTAAAGTGAACAAAATGGAGTTAAGTACCTTAGCGAATAGTTTTCGTAAGTCGTCAGTCCAATCTCCTTCAGTCTTGATGTGGACACTAAGGTAATCATCTCCCGGAGCTGAGGAAATTGAGAATGGATGCCTGTTTATATTTATATATATGAACACCATTTTTTAGTTTGTTTTCATACAAGTAATATGCATGAGAGTTTGTGTTAATTACCATTCTAATGAAGACACTGCAGGACATTTTACATACATGTATTGTCCGCTTTTGTATCTGAAGTTGTTTGGTATTGACGTATGAATCAATAAGACTTTCCCTGGCAACACAGCAACCTGTTGAATTTTTTTTTCTTAGGTAACGGAGATGAATACACAAAAAACTTCTTCCCTTTTTGGATATCTCAAAATAAAAACTGCTTATAAATTCGACCTTTTGTATCTCAACAGCCTCGATCCTTGACCTGAGCGTACGAATCAGCCTTTCAGACAGGTAAATAACCATCGGTACCATTAAGTACATCCAAGTCTGTTAGATCAAATGAAACTAATATCAGATAGTACACTACAATTTTGTATATTGGTCTAGGTATAAATATGTTACTAACGTACCGTTTTTCTGTACCATGTCTTGATGAGGTAGAGATAGTATCCGTGAACGACTAGGAGTATGTAGACGATAATAAACAAATGGTGAGTGTACCAGAATGCGTTGAAGCCGGTTATTTTCTTCAATGATTTAGGAAGAGAATCCAACTTATTTCTTCTGAACAATGTTGTAGCCAAGGTGAAGGTTATTATCATTAATATAACCATGCTAGTCCCGGTAACTACTTCCACTGACTTCAAAAATTCTACATAACTTTTTGGCTGTAGCCCAAAATACAGCTCCATTGGCTTATACGTCTCTTCATCTGCAGCTATCAGCCGAGGGAAATCACAGGCTAAGTGAGTTGTAGCATGGATTCCAACTCCAATCGAGATTGCTATCGTTATGACCTGTGTAAGATTCAATCATAAGTGTTTTGCATCTCAGTGATCTATATATAATTATATATACACACTCTAAGAAGCTAACATTACCTTGTGGAAATTGAGGTTGTCACTGAAAGGAACAACAACACTTAACTTGGTTTTGGTCCGGATCAAAGTGATGGTGTTCCTACAAACTGGCAACAAAACCAAAGCCATGTTCAGCTTAAGGGTCTCTCCAGCTCCTTTAGCTATACAAACACAAGTTCCCATAACTTGGTAAGCAGAGTTTTTTCGATACTCCATAAACTTCCATGTGAACAGCCAGGCCATAACAACTATCCATAGAGCCAGTACCCACAGTCTCTTCCAATTATCCAACACAGAATACATCATCCCACTGAACAAACGTTCCCAGAGATTCCTACTCGCTGATACTTCA